TAGGGCTTACAGGGCCCATAAGGGTTATAGGGGTCATAGGCTCATAGGGTTTATAGGGCTCATAGGGCTCACAGGGCTCATAAGGCTCATAGAGCTCATGGACTCATACGGTTCATGGGGGGCGTGGGGCTCACGGGGCTCAGTGGATTCATAGTGATCATAGGGCCCATAGGGTTCGTAGGGCTCATAGGGCCCATCGGGCTAGTAGGGGTCATGGGGGCCATGGGGCTCATAGAGCCCATAGGGCTCACAGAAATCATAGGGCTCAAAGGGCTTATAGGACCAATAGGGATCATAGGGCTCATAGGGCCCATCCTCTTCGTCATGCTCCTCTCCGTCTTCCCCATCCGCCTCCTCCTCCTCCTCCTCCTCATCATTGTCTTTTTCCTCCTCCTCCTCTTTTTTCTTTCGTGTCCTCCCGCTCCTACACTCCCGCCGCCCCTTCGTCTGGCGCCGCTGGCTGGCGGAGCACTGCCATTGTAGGTTTGGGGGGGGAGGAGAAGAAGACGAGGAGGAGGAGGAGGAGGAGGAGGAGGAGGAGGGGGAAGATGGGGGTAGGTTTTTGGCCAGAGCGGCAGAGGGGAGGACCAGTTGAGGAAGCTATTCAGGAAGCTCCAAAGGGACAGCGTGGTCCATGTGAGGCCGCGGCGCCCGAGGGCACAAACAGAGGGCCATGCTGAGGTCGGCCAGCGTCGGCGACGGGACCTCGCCGAACGTGGAGTTGACGTAGGTGATCGCTCGGACTGCGTCGTCGTACCCGACGATTCCGACCTCGGCGGCGCCGTCGGCGGTCCCCGGGAGGAGCTCGCTGATGACGCCCCAGTCCGGCTTGCCCCACGCGCAGCGGCCGTCGCGGCGGAACGCGTTGAGGAAGAGCTGTCGAAGCGTGTGCCCCGAAGGTATTTGCACCCAGCGTGGAGGTGCATGAGTGTCGGTTTCCGCGGCTCCAGCAGCTCGTGGAGGACACTGGGGCCCCAGGAGGCAGGCCGCGTCGCGGTGGACTTGTCCACGAAGTGCCGCACGGCAGCCACGCTGGCGCCAGCGTTGACGAGCTCCCGCAGCACGGCCAGCCCGCCGACAAGGCATCGCGAAGGCGGTGGCGCGGGCAGAGGCCCATTTCGCGAAGGCGAGCACCACGCGGCGCCGAGGCGCCACGTGCACGAGCGTAATGAATCCGAGAATGTCGGCGTCGTGCTCCAGTACGGAGGTCCGAACATCTGCGTAAAGAAGTGTCGCGACTCCAGAGCGCCGAGAGAGCGATTCCTGAATAAATTGCAAGGAAGTCCCAAGCGAGAGCGCGACTCCTGAACAAAATGCGAGGACCTCTCGGGCGGGAGCGCGATTCTTCAATCAATTGTGACGAAGTATCAGGCGAGAGCCGTTGTTGTTGTTGTTGTTGTTGTTGTTGTTGTAAACCGGGGACCAACGACACAGTTTGAGCCTCAAGGCCTTCCCTGATAAAAACAGGGCACGAGTTCCGGGACAGGCACTTCAATTGAAAAACAATGTGCGCCGGGCGGGGGGGATCAACAACAATTATTCTTCAGAATTGGGGGTTCAACAACAACAGCAGCAACAAACAAACAACAATTATCAGCAAATGAATGGCTCACTTGAGCCATATGTGCATCTCATATTGTAGGGTAGTGGTATGGTGAGCATCTGTCAATGATAAATTTGTTATAAGAGCGCGTTTACGTGAGCGACGAGCACACGCGCGCCGCTGACCTTAAGCACCTTCAAGTTCCCTCTCCAGTTCGAACGTCGGCGAGAAAGTGAACCTTTGTAAGCTCCCTTTTCCCGCGGCTGAATGGTGAACCTTTTCAAGTTCCCCCTTCAGTCCGACCACAAGAGGGAGAGTGAACCTTTTCAAGTTCCCTCTCCCCCGCCTGGAGAGTGAACCTTTTCAACTTCCCTCTCCAGTTCGATCTCATACGGGGAAGTGCACCTTTGTAAGTTCCCGCTCCCGCGACTGAAGGTTGAACCTTTTCAAGTTCCCCCGTCAGTCCGACCACACGAGGGAGAGTGAACCTTTCTAAGTTCCTTCTCCCCCGCCTGGAGAGTGAACCTCTTCAAGTTCCTTCTCCAGTTCGACCACAAGCGGGAAAGTGAACCTTGTCAAGTCCCCTTTCCCGCAGCTAGAGAGTGAACCTTTTCAAGTTCCCTCCCCAGCCCAAAACGCACGCGGGAGAGTGAACGTTCTCAAGTTCGCACTACCGCTGACGACGACAAGACTGGAAAGCACCACGGGGAGAGAAAGCAACATCCCACGGTGACACAGGCTCTGCGCCAGCAACACCCGGTCACTCCTCCTTGACCGCCGCACGCAACGGGGAGAACCACTCGGGACCAACGCAAGAACAGGAAACAAGCAAACCGCCTGAGACATCCCCACATAACGGCCACGAACGGGACCGTGAAAACAACCCTGGCGGCTCCCCTTGGGGGTGCTGAAACCAACGCCCCGCCTGAGACATCCTGAGAATCTGCTCTGATAGCCAAGGATGTTGAGACAGAAAACAAGCAAACCGCCTGAGACATATCCCCACACAATTGTTGCGAACGGGACCGTGAAAACACCCCTGGCGGCCCCCCTTGGGGGTGCTGAAACCAGCGCCCCGCTTGAGACATCTTCAGAATCTGCTCTGATAGCCAAGGATGTTGAGACAGAAACCAGGCAAACCGCCTGAGACATCCCCACAAAATTACTGCGAACGGGACCGTGAAAACACCCCTGGCGGCTCCCCTTGGGGGTGCTGAAACCATCGCCCCGCCTGAGACATCCTCAGAATCTGCTCTGATAGCCAAGGATGTTGAGACAGAAAGCAGGCAAACCGCCTGAGACATCCCCACAAAATTGTTACGAACGGGACCGTGAAAACACCCCTGGCGGCTCCCCTTGGAGGTGCTGAAACCATCGCCCCGCCTGAGACATCCTGACAATATGCTGTGTGTTGAGTAAGTCAGACAATGAGAAGGTATGAGAATGAGTAGGTCTGAGCAGGAGTAGGTCTGTGTATGAGTACGTCTTGGAACGAGTCTGAGTATGAATAAGTCTGGGTATGAGTGAGTTTCAGCATGAGTAAGGCCGAGTATGAGTGAGTCTAGGTATGAGTAGGTCTGAGTATTAGTCAGTTTGTGTATGAGTAATTTTGGGTATGAGTATATCTGAGCATGAGTAAGTCCAAGTGGGAGGAAACGAGCTGTACCGCAAAAAATGTACACGAGTACGGTTGGGAGTGGGTCTGACTATGACGGGGTATGGATTTGAGTGGGTGTGAGCTTACTGTGTCATGAAGAAGTCTGGGTATGAGTAAGTCTGTGTATCAATAAGTCTGGGTATGAGGAGAATGAGGAGGAGGAGAAGGAGAGGAGGAAGGAGTAGGAGACGTCCAAGTAATAACAATAAGCCCATCTTAGGATATGGGGAAAAAACAGCAGCACCAACAATAACAACGACGACAACAACAACGCAACAACAACCAGCACCGCAGAACCCCACTTCAGCCACGCACCCAAGAACAGTGAATGACCGTTTGGCCCCCTCATTCGAATATACGCACGGTCTGGAATTTTTGTTTAGCGTGTCGCGCCGCCGATTCTGGCCCACCACGCTTAGGTGCGACACGCTAACCACGTCTCAGTCCCCAAACGTCATTGTCCCGATCCCAGCCTTTTGCCACGCGGAGCGGAGCGACACGCTATCCGCTTGCAGGGCATAGCGTGTCGCTGGGGCTCCCGCCGCGACACGCAAATACAAGTTCTTAACCCTAAGCCTAGCGCCTAGCGGCCAACGCGCGGGGCACTGCACACCGTCTTGCGGGGGAGGGGGCGACAAGGCGCGGCCTAGTTGGCGCATCAGTTTCCCTCGCGAAGCCGATGCGAAGCCCGCCGTTCACGCGCCTCTGCGTGCAGAAGTCGGCAAGTAATCTCGCCCGACGACAACGACGACCACGACCATGACCACCACCACGTCGACGACGACGACGAGGACGACGACGACGACGACGACGACGACGGCGACGGCGTCGGCGACGGCGACGGCTACGACGACCAAGACGACGACCAAGACGACGACGAGCTCGACGGCCGACCACGACCCCGACGAAGACCGACTGCGCAGGGCCGTCTCCGGCCCCCGCCCGCCCAGCACCTCTGCCCCGACCGGCCGCCGCCGGCGCGGGCGGCGGCTGCGGGCGATGGCCGCGGCGCGGGCACCAGAGGCCAGGCCGGGGGCGCGACGGAGGCGCGAGCCGGCCTGCCTTGCGCGCGCGGCCGGCCTCCTCCTCGGCTACGCGTAGGAGTGGTCCTGCGTCGGAGGGGCCCGTGCGAGCCCGCGGGGGCCACCCCGGCTCTGGCGTGCGCGCTTGTATTTGGAGCCTTCCGCGGCGTCCTGAAGCTCTGCACTTCTCGGCCGCACTGGGGGCGTCCAGAAACCCAGACCCCTTCGAGTCATGAGAAATATCACGCCAGAAGGTTGTTTAGTCAGTATCTTCGGCCGCTGGAGGCCCTTACCGGGCCCCAGGACCGCCGAAAAACGACTGGGGGTGAAGAACCGCTCCGTGGGAGTGGGTCGAGACATCGGGGGGTCGACTCGGGTCGACGTCATGAAAAAATCAAGTCGTCGGGGGTCGGGGAACCTCGATGTCCGACAGTATGCATTTCCCTACCCTGAGAGCCTGGCGTCGCAGTTTTTGTTCACACCTGGCGTTTTCGCCCAGGGCCCTGGGGCCATCCCAGATCGAGCCAGCTTGAGAAATGCCCTAGAGAGATGGGTCTAGAATTTTGGTTGTGATGTTTCACCATCTTGCAACAGCTTGTGTGTAAAGGCCTTATGTTTTAGCGCCCTATAAGGGGGCGGGACTTCCGAACTCGGCGTCCAACTGTGGCCCCATGACAGAAGTTAAGATAAGATACCTTGTTGCTGGAAATCTTCTGAGCAGTAATGAAGCGTCATTGCATCTCTGTAGGCCTCCCGTCGGGTTCGCATCGGCGTTGAGGATCTCCCCAGGGTCAAAACCCTGATCGGGAGGGCTCGGACAGCGAGTCGCAGCCCTTCGGCGAGAGATTTTAGTTTTTTTTGTCTGACCTGCCTTCCAGGCCAGCCACCACCTCTTCCTCCTCGGATTTTCGCCAGGAGCTTCGACGAGGTGTGCTGATGTCGTTGGTTGCGTTTCCCCGTCGCCTCCTCCCTCTTCCCCGCAACATTCCCCTCATCCTTTCGTTGGGAACGGCGGCGGGCCGCCTGGCGAAACATTTCGAGCCAACGGCTTGGTCGATTTGTCCTGCTGGCACCAACAGTTACGCCGCGGGCTGGAAATTTCAATTTGCTTGTCAGGTTGTCCCGCCCTTTCGAACCAAGGGCTTTGTCAGTTGGAGATGGGCCTCTGCTGGTAATGGCAGTGCTGCAGTAGCTTTGGAAGCGCTCGGCTCTGTCGATCTCCATCGCCGTCACACGGCCAAGGTCCCTGGCAGCAGTCAACAAAGACACATTGCTTGTTTTTTGTGGTTTTGCGGGGGGGGGCGGGCGGCGCGGGGAAGTGGGACAACATACAACCAATCAGAGCCAATTCCAACCACCTTGGTACACATTGCAACCCCTTTGGGACTAATTCCAACCACTGCAGGATGAATTCCAACCAGTCTCTCTGGGCAGCACCACAGGCGTCTTTGAGGCGCCGCACGGGCGTCTTAGAGGCGTCACAATGGTGTCGTAGAGGCGTCGTTCGGGCGTCTTAGAGGCGAGGCGTCGTGCGGGCGTCTTAGAATCGTCGCACGGGCATCTTATAGGCGTAGCGCGGGCGTCTTGGATGCGTCTTAGAGGCGTCGTACGGTCGCCTTAAAGGCGTCGTACGGGCGTCTTACATGCGTCTTAGAGGCGTCTTATGGGACGTCTTAGAGGCGTCCTACAGGCGTCTTAGAGGCGTCGTGCGGATGTCGTAGAAGCGTCCCTACGTCTCTGAGAGGCGTCTTTGTGAGGCGTCTCTGAGATGCTTCTCTGACAGGTGTCTCTGAGAGTCGTATCTTGGAGGCGTCATGCGTGGCGTCTCAGACAGGCGTCTCAGAGGCGTCTTCCGGGCGTCGCTGAGAGGCGCCTGAGGGGCGTCTCTGAGAGGCGTCTTTGAGAGACGCCTATGAGTGAGATGTTGATGAGGACGGTGATGATGATGCCGGTGATGATTATTATGATGATGGTGTGATGTCGATGGTGATGATACTGATGGTGATGGTGGCGATGATGATGATGATGATGATGATGATGATGATGATGATGATGATGATGATGATGATGATGATGATGGGCATGATGATGAGCATGATGATGCTGATTCTGATGCTGATGCTGATGATGATGATGGTGGTGGTGGTGACGATGATAGCCACAAGGTGATGATGACGATGATGATGATGTTGTGATGGCGATGGTGGTAATAATGATGAGCCCATGCGTCCTTAAACCCTTTCAACCCTTAAACCCTTAATCCTTCAACCATTTAACCATTGAACCCTTACGCCTTTAACCCTTAAGCCCTTTCGCCCTTGGACCTTATCCCTTAACCCTTTAGCCCTTCAACCCTTTAACCCTGTAACCCTTACGCCCGTAAACCCTAAAACCCTCAAGTCCTGAAACCCTTCATCCCTTTGAGGCCTTACACCCTCTAACGCCTTAACCCTTAAAACCCTTAGAACCCTTAAAACCCTTAAATTCCTAAACCCCCAACTCCGGAAGCCCCAACCTCTTGAGCCATGTAAGGCATTAGACCTTTAACCACCACAATTTGTTTAAAACGCTTTAAACCCTTAATCCCTCGAGCCCTTAAGCCACTCTACTTTTGAACGCTTGCAAGCTTAAGTAAACCCTTAGTCTCTTAAAGCTTTGAACGCTTAAACCCTCAAACCCTTAGAACCTCAAACGCTCAATCCCCAGTCAAACGTGGTACACATTCCAACCCAGGCAGTCATGTTAGTTTCTGGCATAATTTTGCAAACATAATCTGGTTATTTGATATTGGGATATCCTGACATCGCCTCACACTTATAATCATACAATGACGTTGTTTGGCCGGTTGGAATTCGTACCAGCTTATCTTGTCGAGCCAGTTGGAAAATGTACCATTTGGTTGGGATTCGTAGTCCCAGTCGGTTGGGATTTGTCTGAATGCTGCGGCGCGGCCACCGCTGGACGCAGCTCGAAAAATTGGTCAGGATGATATTCGGGCGGTAGCCTGGGATCGGTGTTCATGAAACGTGGCTCTTGGAGATTTGTGCCGCCTCGACGCGAAGGCGACGCAAGCGCGGCCTTTCGATGCGGAACGCCCTCCTGGGGGCCCGCGTTCGACCATGGAGGCCCAGGGGCTCCCAAGGACCAGCTGGGGAAGCTGTGTGTTTGGCGTTGCACTCAACGCAGGGGCATTCATCGGAAATCGGACACATGTGTATTACCAGTGGCGGGCTGTTTTTCAATCCCAGGCCTTTTTGAGGGTCGGGGTCGACGTCGGGGTGGTGTGGTGTATACTTTGTTTTCTGCTTTCCCAGAGAAACAACGAACATGTATACACCAGGACCCCTCATACACCAGGATCAGCTTTCCTGTGCGAATCTCAGTGCGGGGCCAGAAAAAAGCGTCGGTGTATAGCGTTCGGCTCTTTAATTCGGGCCAGTCAAGCCCTCGCCTCTGTTCGCCCGCCCGTGGCCCGATCGGCACTGCATGCAAAAACGTCCCACGGCCCCTCGAGGCCCCCGACCCGACCCGAACCAGGCGCTGCCGGCCCCCCTCGGCTGCGGGTTGGTTGGGCCTCGACTAATTTCAGGAGGGGAAAAAACACACAGACACAATTAATCGTCGATTTCCCGGAAAATATGGGAAAATATGGGAAGTGGTGGGGAAGACAAAACCCAGAAAATATAGGAAAATATGGGGAATCTTTTTATTTGTGTGTATTTATTTGTGTGTCCCAGTTTCCCTTCATAATTGGGGGGGCGATTTCCGCGTATGGCCCCCTCACGAGGCGACGCCCACTGTGGGTCTGGGGCGCCCGCCCGCGGCCCAACGGACAGACGGCACGAAGGCCGGTGCAATCTCCACGGGACGATGGTGCATTGAAACGGGGCAGCCCGAGGCGGAGTGGGAGGAGGAGGAGGAGGAGGAGGAGGAGGAGGAGGAGGCGGAGGCGGAGAAGGACGGGGACGAGGACGGGGACGAGGACGGGGACGGGGACGAGGACGAGGAGGACGAGGAGGACAAAGAGGCAAACGGCATGACGGCGGGCCAAATCTCCACGAGACGATGGTGCCTCGAAACGTGGCAGCCCGAGGCGAAGGGCCCGAACCGCCCTCGCCGCTCGAACGAGCGCCCAAGCGGGAGGGCCCTGCGCCTCGGGAGCCCCCAGCGGCCCCAGCAGCCCCCCGCCCTGGGCCCCTGAGGAGAAGAGCCAGCAGATGACGGAATACTTTGCCGCCACCACCACCACCACGGGCAGGGCGGGGCAGAAGAGAGGATGAGGAGGTTCCCCTCCTCTTCCTCCTCCCCCCTCCTCCTCCTCCTCCCCCTCCTCCCCCTCCTCTTCCTCCTCCTCCCCCTCCTCCTCGTCCTCCTCCTCCTCCTCCCCCTCCTCCTCGTCCTCCTCCTCCTCCTCCTTCTCCCCCGCCTCCACCTCCCCCCTCAAGCAATTTGGGCTCGAGCACCAAGCCCTTGCGCCCCCGTGCGTGAGGCAGGTACTCAGTCCAGCACTGTACTTTCTCGTAGTGCTTGAGGAGCACCGTCTCTCTGCGAGCGACCAGAGTTCACAGACAGCGGTTGGCCAGACAGTGCAAAGACACAGGCTACGTGATGACCCGAGGACAGCAAGCGAAGCAGTGGTCCAAATGCGGCTCCTGTGGCGCCTGGGATTGGAACAAGAATCTTCGAGGTCGACAATGTCGCTGTGCCAAGTGTGGAGGCAATGTCAAACTCTACGAGAGTGACGGCAACACCTTGCACAAGCCTGGACGTGGAGTACACGACCAGGCGGCGCAGCAGCATCAGACGCAGGCGATCGTGGAGGGGCTCATCAAGGGCTTGGCCACTTCTGTTGCAGCACCGCAGCTCGCCCAGGTGACCAAGGCGCTGCAGGCCCAGCTCAACCCCTCCGTGGTGACCAGCAAGGCGTCCACGGCCGAAGGAGAGACGCCAATGCCAAACATGATCAAGCAGTGGCCGCTGTCGTTCGCTGTCAGGCCAATCTCGACAGGGCCAAGCAGCGGGAGGCCGAGGCAGCAATGACATTGGCACAAGTGGATTTTGAGCGGAAGCAGGCCACAGCAGCCTTCGCTTGCGAGGTCAGAGGCTCAGCAGAGCAACCTGAGCAGTCCACCTCGCAGGCTGCTTTCGACATAGTGTGGGACGAAGATCTATTCAAAGATCTGGACCAGCTAGAGGGCATAGAGACGGCCGAGAAGGACGACTTGATGAAGATCCACGCCGAACTCCAACAATACAAGTCCCAGCTGGCGTCCAAATCCGAGGACGTGAAATCCAGGATCGCGAGGGCCAAGGAGCTCCACGAGACGATCCACGTGCGCGTCGGCAAGAAGCGCAAGACCGAGGCCGACGAGGACAAGCAGCCGACGGACGGGGCGGACGAGGCTCAGGCGGGCGGTGGCGGCGGCGCTAGCCAGGCGGCCACGCCAGGCAGCGACGCTGCGGCAGCGTCAGGCGGCTCGCCAGCCACAGCCGAGGCCGCCGCCGCATCCGCCCCCGAGCCCAGCGGCCCAGCCGTCGCCGCGGCAGCTGCGGCCATCTCGGCCCGCAAGCTGGCGGAGGCGCAAGCTGCAGCCACGGCCGAAGCCCAGGCGCTTCTGACGGTGGGAGGCAGCACGGACTCCAAGGTCGGCAACACCAAGATCGGCAAGGGCACCAGGGCCTCCCGCGGCAAGGGCGGCGGAGCTGGTGGCAAGTGAGAAGTGCAGCCGAGGCCTCCCACGACCAGGGAGAGGGATGCCTCGGCGCAAACCGGCGCCATCTCCAGCGCCAAGGTTTTGAACCTCTTCGACGCGATCTTCCAGAAGATCAGCATCGCGGAGACCCTCCAGGCGAGCATAGCTACTGTGCCACCAGAGCCACAGTGCAATGTGCCAGCCAGTTTCACGAGTTCTACTTCGGCGAGAGGCTCCAGTGTGCAGGTATCGGGTACCTCGACAGGGAGTCAGACTTCGCCGCCTTCTACTTCACGTTCTGCAGGGCCCCAGGCTGCGGTGACGGAGGTCGACAGCACGACCGACAGTCAGGCGCAGGAAGGAGCCAACCACGCTGGCACAGCGGCTGCTCCACTAGGGAGCGACTCAGCTGCTGGCGAAGAGTGCAGCCTTTTTTTCGCGAACATCACTAGTATGGGGACGTCAGCCAAGACGTCACAAGCCTGGACCTACCTCTCAGAGAACGCCGACAAGCATCAGTTCTGGGCCTTCGTGGAAACGCACGTGGCAGCAGATGCTCTACGGCAATGGCACAAGGAGGCACAGGCGATCGGCATGAAGTTGATTGCGAACGGAGCCAGGCCCTCAGGCCACGCCCAGTCCCAGGACATGGAGGGCAGGGCCAACGAGGGTGGCGAATGGTTCCTCACCGCAGGTCACAGACAAGTTCATGCGCTGAGTGCAGCGCAACATCAAGGTTTCCGAGCACAGCGGGGTAGTGCTCGAGATGGCTTCTGCGCGACGGTGGTGCACCTCAAGGGGTTCAGCCTGGTGGTCATAGTGTTTTATGGCCTGTCCTCATTAGGACTGAATGGCGACAATTTGGTGCGCTATCACAAGCTCGGAGGACTCGTTCGTGCCATGCAGCTGCCCTGGCTCATCGTCGGGGACTTCAACGTTCCAGCGACCACACTTGCACGGACTGATTTCTTTTCGTCACTTGGAGGGAGGCTCTACACAGGAGACCTCGTCACGACGTGCACGGCAGGAGCATCGGGATCTCTGATCGATTATGCCGTGGCGAGTAACCATTGTCTCCCTCACCTCATCTCCATCGCCCCTGTCGTGCAGGTCCCCTGGAAGACGCACATAGGCTTTCAGATTCGTATCAGAGGCTCTGGGGCTCAGCTGTTGGTCAGGGCCCTGGAGCTTCCCGCCAGGTTACCTCAGGTTGGTAGACCTAAGTGTGAGGCAACGCCAGGGTCCAAATCGTCTGAGTCACGTAAGAAGCTAGCTGAGAAGAAACGCGAGGCACATGAGCGTAGGGTTTCACTCTATACTGCACTTTTTGGGGAGGAGCCTGAGACCACAGAGCCTCACGAAGAGCCCCCCGAAGATCTGGACCTGCTGCTGCTGGGCGAGACGGCCGTGGGATGGGATTCCGACCCTGAGGAGGATCCTTGGGCGCAAGAGTCGGAGTTCAGGCATGTGCCGAACCATGCGTCCGCGCAGCTGTTGCATACAGTCGTGCGGGACCCCTCTTCGCCTCCCTCCGCTGCTCCTCCTGCTGCCGCTGCTGGCCCCCCCCCCCCCATCCTGGGCCGCCCCCAGCAGCTAGCACACAGGCCCCATTTAACAATTCTGACAATGTCGCAGGAATGCAGTTTAAAGCCACACCCGACCCCCCCTTGGAGTGCCCCCCCGAGGTCTCGGTAGGTAATATTCCCCAAGGGGAGTCTGGAGGGCCCACCTTCGATATTCCTGAGAGCACATGGATGTCCGAGCGAACTGCAGTTGGCACCGTCAGGCAATACGAACATCATATATGGCCTCCCATTGCGCAGTCAGTAGCCGTTTTGGCTGGAGGGAGCAAGCCAGTGCTCGCTGTCAGTTCGGCCTACGCGACGTGGGTCTCGGCAGTTGAGCGGACGATTTTGGCGCACCACAGGCCAGGTGAGAGCGAACTGCCGCGAGCGGTGGCAGCATCCTGTGGTCGCGCCAAGGGCCCCACCTTGCGTGTCAAGGAGTTGCACGTGCCCGCCAAAGTTCGAGCGGTACCTATACGTGACTCTATTGCTGGGTGGTGGCTGCAGACACATACAGTCGTCCAACAGTTGTTGAAACATCGGCAGAAAGACAACGGCCAAGTACAGCAGCAGCAATTGCATCACGCGTGTTGGAGGCTAGCCACTACCTTTCCCGAAGGAGTTGCACGCGTCTTGAGAGAAGCTGACCCGTCTTGGGATACTTGGGTTGGCGCTCTTTCAAACATCAGTAAGGCATCGGTCAATATTTTATCGTATTTCGAGCAAGCCGCCTTTAGGCTTGCCAAGAGGGCCCAGAGTCGGGCCTTGTGCGAATCGCTTTCTGAATTTCGGACTTGGGTCACGACGGCAGAGGCCAAAGGAGCTCTCTTCAGGAGCTTACGTGAGACGCCGCTGACGGTGGACCAACTCACCACCAAGAGCGGCGACGCATTATACCATCCTGTCGATGTCGTGGACCACAAGGTGCAGCACTGGCATAGGCGGTGGGCGCCCGAGCAGGTTGATTTCGACGGCACGGTACAACTGTTTCAGAGGATTCGGGATGAGTCGTTGACGACCGCGCTCCCGCCGATCGAGGTGGGCCAGCTGGACAGGGCTGTGAGGCGAATGAAGCCTCGCGCTGGGCTCGGGGTGGACAGACTCACTCCCCTGGATGTCCAGAGGCTCCCTCTGTCGGCGAGGGCAGAGCTGGTGGACTTTTACAATCAGGTGGAGGATCAGTTGACGTGGCCGTGGCAACTGCTCATCGTCGAGGGCCGTCTTCTACCCAAGAAGGCCCAAGGCGATCGAGTAATTGGCATCATATGTATGACGTGTAGAATTTGGTCCATGACCCGAGAAGACATCATGAAGCCATGGACAGTTGAGTCAAGTGAAAGTTGGGATGCAGCGCTGGCAGGAAATTCAGCGCTGCGCGAGGCTTTCCTCAAGACTGTCTACGAGGAAATCTACGGGGTGCTGGGGGTGTCATACGCACACGCCATCTTGGACATCCAGTCCTTTTATGACGCTGTCACCTGGGCATGCCTGGTATATGCAGCACTTAAGTTGCATTTCCCCCCAGTCATCCTGTTTTTAGAGCTCCAGCTTTGCACGGCACCAAGGATGATGACACAACTCGGGTCTACGTGCTGCCCATTCCAGGTGGCTAGATCGATCATCCAGGGCCTCAGGAACGGGACACGCTTCGGCAAGTGCGCGACGCATTTCGTGATGAAAAAGCTTACCGAAGGGAACCCAGGGCTTCACGTTCGACTCTGGATCGATGATTTGAGTGAGTCAGCAGTTGGATCTGAGAAGTTTGTTTTTCGTAAGTTGGTCAAAGGTGTGGCTGACACATTTAATTTTCTTGCAGAGGAGCAACTATCGGTCGCCTCCAAGAGTGTTCTGATTGCAGCGAAGCATCAACAGGCAAGGGCGATCACAGCAGCTCTTCGACGGCGAGGATACTCGCTACGACCAGTCCTGCAAGCAGCATATCTTGGCGTGGATCTTGCGGCTGGGCGCAGAGCAGCACGCATGACACGGAGAGGTCGAGTTGTCAAAGCTGCAGGGCGCCATCGTAAGATCTCACGATGGGCGAGAGCAAGTAGACAATATGCGGTGACAGCTACTTTGGAGAAAGTGGCAGGACAGACGGTGGCACACTACGGACATCAGATTCACGGGATGTTCGGCACAGAGCTCAGCCGCCTTCGACGCAGACTGGGATCAGTATGTGGGTCGAATCGTCGGGGTCGGTGTTTGACCACGACGCTCGATCTGCGCGCACCCGAGCAAGACCCAGCAATTCGCTTGAGCAAGGAATGCCTGAGCGAATGGTTGCGACTCTGGACCACGAACAGTGCTATCCGTAGCTCCATCGTCAAAGTTTGGCCCGACATTGTCAGCAAGATGGAGGCACTCACCAGCGCTGAGAGGACCCGCCATGTTCGAGGGCCAGTCAGCGCGGTGATCGTGACACTTCTGCAGTACCATTGGGAGCCGTTATCACCATCGCATTGGCGACTCTCACGCGGTGAAGGTCGCGAGCAGATCGAATGGCATTTCAATGATGACGAGCTGACGGGCAATGAAGATTTCAGTGATATTCTTGCAGATCTTTCTAGTTCGGTCAGGGATGTTCTATGGCAGCAGGCAGCGGCACACTATCTTGGCGAGGGCATGGCTGAGGGCATCGACAATGACTCACTCCGAGCCTTGCTGAGCCGACTCGGGCAGGTACCTAAGGGGGCACAATGGGCTGAAACTATGCTGGCAGTGGCCACTGGGGGTACCTGGCCTCGGACACGCTTCGAGGTAGACGACCAAGAGTTCAAGTTGTGCCCCAGGTGCCTGCTGCACGGTGAGAGGTACCCCGAGACGCCCCTGCACCGCTGCTGGCTGTGCCCCCAGAACACAGGCCACCAAGCGTATCGCGATTCGGACCAGTATACGCCGCAGGCGGTCAGCCAGCATGAGCAGTACGAATGTTTTTGGCTGCGTGGGCTGTTGCCAAGTTCGTGGACTGCAGTAAGTTCACCAGCCGCAGCAGAGAGCTGGATATTTGACTCCGTAGGCACGCATTGTGCACTTCCCTTCTTGCCCCAGGCAGACGAAGGTGGTGCGCAGTACCGGCCTACGGAGCTCAGGCATGTGCCGAGCCTCATCATAGCAGAGGGCACTGACGACAACCCAGTGTACGTATGTGGTGACGCTAGCGGTGGTGCAGACACTCATTCACCCAAGCTGAGGCGAGTGGGACTGGGCTTCGTCATCGTGGAGCAGCGGAACCCCGTCAAGCTTGGGCTCGAAGCGCAGGGACCTTTGCAGGGGCGGAGGCAGACGGTTTATAGAGGAGAGTTGGCGGTGCTGGAGTATGTCTTGCGATGCACTCGGGGCGCCGTCATATATCTCACAGACAACGAGGGGGTGGAGAAAGGGTGGACAAGCCGCACTTATCTTCGCCCACGTGAGGCCAATTCAGATGTTGACTTGTGGAGCGCCATCGGTCAGCACTTGCATGCCGACGGAGATCGACACGGCCGAGTTTCTGTCATGTTCATGAATTCACACTTGTCGGAAGTTGAAGCAGCTGAGAAAGGATATGCGCCGTGGATGTGGCACGGCAACAATCGAGCTGATCAGTTGGCAGGACGAGCTGCGGAGGCACATCGTGTTCCACAAGCAGAACGCACACGTGTTGCGCAGCAGGAGAAAAGAGCGGAGTTGGTCAGGCGTCGGCTCTTGAGAGCCACGATGGATGCCATGGCCGCAGATCCCAGGCCACGTCGGGAGTCGGAAAAACTTCGTACCATCCCGCCTGCCCCCATCATTGTGGCTCGTTTCTGTACCAAGCACACCTTGGATGACTCGGGGCGCCTATGTCTGAGATGCAAAGGGTCCGCGTCAAAAAAATGTCTTGCTGATTGGTTGAAGTCGCCGTGTTTTGAGCTGCAGTCAGTAGACGGAGTTGTTTCAAGAATACCCTCGGGGTGTAAAGTCCATAGGGCGGGGGGGTGGCTGCATTCGACTCACAATCTCAGGTTTCACACTAGCTTGAAACTCTGGTTTTGCGGAGTGTGCGGATATTATGCCTCTGACCAAATCCGAGGGCTTGCATCCGAGTGTACTTATAGAACCAACAAGCCCCGACTAGATTATTTAAACAGGATCGAGGATGGGCTCTGGCCAAAGCTTCTGTCGTTGTCGGAGCAACGAGCCAGAGGCCTCATCCCTCCTTAATTAATCCTTTTTCGCTTCGCGATTTGACCATTCCCATTCCCATTCCCATTCCGCCTCCACCTCCCCCTCCTCCACCTCCTCCTCCTCCTCCTCGTTCTCCTCCTCTCCCTTTCCTGCCTCTGGTAACGGTGGTGGGAAATCGGCCCATCAGCAGCGGCAGGCTCGGGGGCAGCGAGGACCCCCGGATCTGCAGGGCTCGCGGGCCTGCGCCAGGGACCGGTGCGCTCTCTGGAGGGACTCTGCGCCTGGAGGGCCGCCGTCCGCCGTCCGCGTTGCGTGAGGCTGGCGGCGAAATGCGAGCCTTGCCCTCGCCGATCCGCGGTTCGGGCAGCCTCAATGGGCCGCGAGGGGCGCATCCCCGTCCCGGAATCGGAGCAGGCGCAATTTCCAACGACGCGGCGACGCCCCCGGGCCCCCAGTTTCAATGTCGACGCCGGAACTGGCGACTGCAATTGTCTTGTTGCCCCCGCGGGCTGCGCTGCGCGCGCCCGTCAGCATTGAAATGCGGGGGCGTGGGTGGTGAATAGAAACTTGCGTTTGATTTCGAGGAGAGCTGTAGGATGCGGAATCCATCGGGCGAGTGGAGGAACCCGAACCATGCCCCCGCCTCCCATCGATTCAGGAGAATCGATGGTTAGTGTGGGCAGGGTTCGGATGTCGCCACCTAGTGAGGTTGGCACCCGCGCTGCCGATGGTGTGCTCGAGCGGGTCGGGCCTGAGCATTGAACGCGAGGACTCGGCGATCGAGCAGTTCGTGTTGAGTCGCGACGAGGGCCGTGCCGCGGGCTTACGGTTGATCGGCCAGACCTCCGACGTCTCGTTGTTTTCAAGACGGAATTCCCCGAGCTCTGGACCACTTCCCGTCGACCGGTTTTTCGCCCCGGGTTGTTGTTTGCCGACCCCGCAGGGCCCGACGAGGGCTTCCAGAGGCCAAAATTTGGGAAGCAACGCCCTCCGTTTGTTTTTTTGTTGTACGTCCACGCGTCGGAGATCTCGGCGCTGATTTGCATTCTCGCAGCGGTTGCGCCCCTCCTCTCGGGTGGGCCCGGGCCCAGGATGAAGCGCTCTTGAGAGCGCTACACCCTCTTGAGCCTAAGAGTTCTCTCTTGAACCGAAACGTCATTTTTATAAATCGCTACGAGGCGCCAGGTACGTCATCCAGAACCGCCAGATCTCAGAGATCCCCGATCTTCGGGGGCGGCGGCCAAATGAGAGGGGTGATGACTGAGGGGGGAAAAATTATGATTGCCGGGGCCAAGGTATCTCCCCAGATCTCACGGCGCCTCCTCTTATTTTATCACGTCCCCCGCCCCCGTCCCCCCTGCACATGCCTCGGGCCATGATTTGCGACCCCCCCTCTCCTGGACGCCCCCCTCTTGGACGCCCCCGACTCCAGAACCGCCAGATCTCAGAGAGCCCCGACCGATTTTGTATTGGTCCTGGCCTCGTCTGTGTCCTCGCCGTCGTTTTTCCTCGGCACGCCCGCGACGGACTGCATGTTCTGAGCGGATCCCGCCCCTTCGCCTTTCCCGCGCCCCCTTCAGGCAAGAGGAGGAGAAGCAGGAAGAGGACGCGGAGGAGGAGAAGAAGGAGGAGGAGGAGGAGGAGAGGAAGGAGGAGGAGAAGGAGGAGAAGGAGGAGGAGGAGGAGGGGGAGGAGGAGGAGGACTGCTTCGACTCTCTTGCGCCCGCGGACAAACAGAAAAAGAGCCGCCGCCCCGCCCTGCCCGCGCAGGAGCCGCCGAGGCGCCGCCGCGGGCGCCGCGGCCGCGCACCCCGTGCCGCCCCGCGCCGCGGCCCTGGCGGCGTGCGCCGTGGCCTGGTGGGCCGGCGCAGGCGGCCCGCGCTCGGGTGGGGCGACGGCTCGGGCCCCCCCGGGGTGGGGCCCCCGGACGGAGCCAGGGCGAGGACGATCGGGAGCCTCGAGACGGGGGTCAGTGCAGACGGGGGTCAGCCAGAGCGCCGGATCTTGCAGGATCCTGCAGCGCCGGGGTCGCATTGACCCGGGTTTGGGCGCAGGATCCTGCATGATCCTTCGCATTGACCCGGGTTTGGGTGCAGGATTTTGCAGGATTTTGCAGGCCTGATTGACCCAGGTTTGGATTGACCCGGGTCAGAAGATCCCTGAGACGAAATCGGCGGAGGATGAATCGAGAATCTCTGAGATCTGGCGGCTCGGGGGGATGTCTCGGGCGGCGCGGCCTTCTCAGAGCGTTCCGGAACGCTCTCTGAGGGCGTTCCGGCACGCTCTGGAAGGCATTTATGTCTTCGTCCTAGCCCCGTCCGAGATCCGAGCGGTGAAGTCAAGGGAGGAAAAAACACCCCGACCCCGATCATTGGCGTGTGCAATGAGCCACGCGCAGAGGGGAGAGGCGGGAGGGGGGACGGCTTTTTAGAAGGACGCCGCTTCTTCGAAGACGCGGGCCCCCTTCTAAGAAGATATCGGTTGCTTCTTAGGAACTGTACCTGGCGTGCTTCTAAGAAGCAGGCGGCTTGTTTCTAAAAAGCTGCCATTGCTTCTAAGATTTAGTTCTGTGCTTCTTAAAAGTTGCTGGGGTGTTTCTAAACAGCAGCGCGCACCTGGCTTTTTAGAAGGGTTGCCGGCGCCTTCTAAGAGGCAGCCGCTTTCTAAGACGCCTTACCCTTTGTTGTATTCTCTTGTGTGCGCCGCTAACGAGTGGCAAAGTTAAGGGAGGAAAACAAATTTGACCCCGATAACTGGCGTTTGCTACACGGCCCTCGGTGTTTACGAAACAGCCCTGCCCCGTTCGATTCCTTGCTTGGGCGCGTTGACTAGCTGGCTTCGCTTTGTGGGTGTGCTTATTATGAGCTTTGCTTCTTCGCTCTCTATATGATGGCCCCCGTCGCCTCGCGTCGCGACAGAATCAGCCGAGTAGGAGATCGACTACAGACTTTGATTCGCCCCAAAGTTGATGACGAAAAATACGTACCAGGTCCGTAAATCTACGAAAACTCTGCATAGTTGTCTTGGAATCAAAGGAAATGTCAGTTTGGGGATACATCTATTGTGTAGTCGATCTCCTGCTCGAGTAATGGTGGTGTTGTTTCGTAGTTTTCGGCCTCCAGGAGATCTTGCTGGGCCCCAGGGCCTTCCAAAAACGACGTGGGGTGAACAAACTGGCCCCGTGGAATGAGTCGAGGCTTCCGGGGATCCACGTCTTGAAAATGGCATGACGTCCAGGGTTTGGGCACGTCGCGGCCTCCTCTCCATCTTTCCAGGCCTCCCAGATGGGGCCCACGCAGATGGGGTCGGAGGATCGCGCCGCATCGCCGATGCATCGTCGATGTGGATCCCAGTTTTCTAAACACCGATGTCGGCGATGCATCGCCGACGGTGCCGATGCATCGGTGATGCTTTGATGATGCGGCACAGTCCTCCGACCCCATCTGCTCGGACCCCATTTGGGACGCCTCTAGAAGGTCGGGGGCAACGTTGGGGAGTGGGCCCCGCCGTACGGCCCGCAGCTTCAGTCCAGTTTGTTTTCGAAGCCCACACCAGATTCGACTTCTGGACACATTCCGACCTGCCAGGCATCACGTGTCATGTTTCGTGTTCTTCCAGGGGAACACTCCGCGGGGTATTCCGTGACACCAACAAGTTGCCGACGATGACAGTTTCCCAATTCTTTCTTGAATTTAGGGGTAATTGTTTATTTTTAGGAACTTGGCCTGCGGGCTGGGCCAGTCTGGCGGCTATGTTGTCACCGTCGCCACCCCGTCGCCGCCTCGTCGCCGCCTACCGTCTGGGCATGCGGGCTAGTCTGGCGGCTATGTTGTTGCCGTTGCCGCCCAGTCGCCGCTTCGTCGACGCACATCGTTTTGACCTGTGCGTCGGTATGGTTGCTATGTTGTCGCCGTCGCCGTCCTGTCGCCGCCGTCGCCTATCGTAGCCTCCGTAATTAGTAGGCTGTGAGGTGCACCGCATATATTGCACGAAGTACATTGCACCACATAGGCATCGCGTAGATCGCACAATGTAGGCTGCACACCACATATTTCACGACAAAGATCGCATCACATAGATTGCGCCGTATAGATTGCACCACGTATATAACATCACATCTATTGCAACACATCTGTTCTCCTTTCTACAAACAGAATAGGATCTACCCCATCCCCCCACCCGGCGTTATCACTCCCCCTTTCGGGTATGTAAATCATAAATGATTATGACCACATGTCCATCCTAAATATGAAGTTACGCTATCCCAGGGGGGCCGGTATCCCCCCCCTGAGGGTCCTTTATAAAAACACTACGCAGTGACATTTTTTGCTCTAACATAGCACTTTTTCGCGAATCCCTAGCAAAAAATGGGACCAAGTGCACACGCGCGCGTCGTCGCGCGCGCATGCCGAAATCTTTCAAAAACCTTCGGTGCCGGAAGGATTTCGCAATCGAGCTTCCAAAAAACATACAACAACGCAGGGTTTCGCAACACTGATTTGCTAAAAAAGCTTCCGCGCGAGCTCTTGCGAAATCTTAAGAAAACCATAGGTTTTTCAAGATTTTCACAACATGCTATTAAACGGGCTTCGCGCGCGCGCATGTCGAAATCTGTCGAACGCCCTTGCGCGTGTGCCGTCGCGAGAATCCTCTGCAAAAAATGGGACGAAGTGCAGACGCGCGCGTCGTCGCGCGCGTACGCCGAAAACCTTCAAAACCCATTGGTTTCGGAAGGATTTCAAAATTGTGTGTCCATAAAACCTGCAAAAAATACAAGGTTTCGCAACACTGATTTTCAACAAAAGTGTGCGCGCGCGCTCTTGCGTCGTCGTCGTCGTCGTCGTCGTCGCCGTCCTCCCTCCTCCCGCGTCGTCGTCGTCGTCGTCGTCGTCGCCTACGTCGTCCTCTGTCTTTCCTCGTGTTCGTCGTCGTCGTCCTCTTTGGCGTCGTGGTCGTTTCCGTCGTCTTTGTTGCCGTGGTCGTCCTTCCTCCTCCTCCCTCGTCGTCGTCGTCGTCCGTCGTCGGCGTCTCGTCGTCGTCCCTCCTATTTCGTCTCCGTCGTCGTCGTCGCCGTTGTCGTCGTCGTCTTCCCTCCTCCCTTGTCGTTGTCGTCGTCGGCGCCGCCGTCCTTCCTCCTTCTTCGTCGTTCGCGTCGTCGCCGTCCTGACTCCTCCCTCGTCGTTGTCGTCGTTGTCGTCGTTGTCGCCGTCGTCGTCCTTCCTCCTTCCTCGTCGTCGTCTTCGTTGGCGACGTCGTCGCCGTCGTCTTCGTCGTCGTCGACGTCGTTGTCGTCGTCGAAGTCGTCGGAGACGTCGTCGGTGTCGTCGTAGTCGCCGTCGTCGTCGTCGTCGGCGTCGTTGACGTCGTCGTCGTCGTCGTCGTCGTCGTCGTCGGTGTCGTCGTTGTCGTCGTCGAAGTCGTTGGAGACGTCGTCGTTGTCGTCGTAGTCGGTGTCGGCGGCGCCGTCGTCGTCGCTGTCGCTGTCGTCATCGGCGTCGGTGTCGTGGCCAAGTGTCATGTGATACGTACCGTCACGGTCTTGTCTTAAGAGGTCTTGCGACCAAGTTGCGGGTGGGAGGGTGGGATGTTTGCACGAGCAGTGGAGAGGACAGCTTCAAGACGGTCAAATATGAATTGCACTACATAGGTTCCACCATGTCGATTGCACCGCATTGATTTCGCACCGCATATATATATATATATCATCAGATAGGCGGCACCGCATGGATTGTACCACTGTGTGTCTACATATATTATGTATATACACACGTGTATATATACGTATGTATATGTATGCATATATACTTATATATATGTGTATATATATATATATATTGCACCGACTTGATCCCCGTTTTCTAAAAAGGAATGGGATCCAGCCCCGGGTGTTACGGTCCAACCTGAGGATGTGCAATGTACATGTGATTCTGCCCCATCGTTCATGCTGAATGCGAGTTCTTACCGTCCCAGCCGAGCCCAGGTTTGGCCCCCCACCCCCCAACATCTTTGTCTATTAATACTACGCGCGCATTCGCTTATCACACATCATCTGTTTTCCAGAACCCCTGGCAACAAATGGACGAAGTGCGCACGCACGCGTCATCGCGCGGACATGCCACAATCCTTCAAATTTCTGAGGCGTCGTAAGGATTTCAAAATCAGCATGGTGATTCAAACAAGGTATGCGCGCTCGCTCTTGCGAGTTCTTACGACAAACATGGATTCTTACCACAAGCATGGGTTGTTCCATGATTTCATTGACTGCGAAGAAACGGACCTCTCGCGCGCGATGTCGAAGTTTTTGAACGCCCTTGCGCGCGTGCTGGGCGGGGCACGACTCGCGCCCGTCGGCCGCGCGCGTATGTCGCAATCTTCCCCAACCTTCATCACCGACACGTGGAGACCATCATCACCATCGGCATGATCAGCATCGGTGCCGTCATTGGCCCTGCCGTCGTCATCGTCATCGTCGTAACCAGCATCGCTACTATCATCATCGTGTTCGCCCTTGCCGGCGTCGCCATGATACCGCGCCCGCCCGAGCCACCGATTCGCACTGAAGTGCCCGCGCGTCAGCGCTGTCTGCGAGACGCGCTGGGAAGTGTCCAGCGGTCAGCGCCACCGCGGCCGCGTCGGTCGCGCCAGACTAGCTGACCGCTCTGCGCGCGACCCTGCGCGCGATAGCGCGGCCGCAGCGATGCTCCAGCTAGCTCCAAGCAGTCATCGCATTTGCCGCCGTATGGGTTTTGCAAGCCAAGTTTCGGGTGGGTGGAGGGGATGATTGCGCGAGCAGTGGAGTTGTCAATTTCAAGTTCGGCACGGTGACTTGTACCAGAAAGATTGCACAACGCAGATTGCACAGCACAGATTG